AAGTAAGCAAGTAAGTTTATTCAGGTACATATACACAAATACAGTTACACAGATTATCGTACATAGCAGTGTATGTATAGAGAACCTAGGATAACCCAAAAAAGTCGAAGTGAGTTATTTCCAGTACCTGGTTTGGGCTTGCCATATATGATTTTTGGTAAATATTTCTTTTCTCAACTGTTTGTTGGGCTATCTTATCAGTGCTTGGGCAATGTACGATGGAAAGATGCTTCTTAACATACACAAAAAAAAAAGAAAAAAAAAAAAAAAACGGACGTTAAATAAGGGATTTCACTTCTCAGCCATTAGCTACCTCTTTGAAGTATACTTTCATGTGGTTTTTATAGTTGTATTCTCTTTTTTTGGTCTCATTTGACAGAATGGAAGATATATTACAGAAATAGATATGATTTTGATTGGTTTCACAACTAAAAGTACCTTGAAACTGAACTCAAAGCAGCAGAAATGTTCGATTTTTGCCAATGTTAAATGAACTTTCTTGTTTAAGTCAAGCTGGTTAATTATATTAAGTGAATTTTAACCTAGCCACTCTGCAATCCGGAAAACTCAGTAATCTGGCAAACTACAGGTCCCAATGATGCTGGATTTGTGATCGTGGACCTGTATTAGTATTACTGTACTATGGCGTTAGGACTAGAGGGACACACTGAGTGAACGAGCAACAAAGGCATGTTTATATGCTATGTAACGTGTTTCTTACGTAATTTTGAAGAAAATACCATAGATCTGGAGTTTACCTGGAGAGAGTTCCGGGGGTCAACGCCCCCGCGGCCCGGTCTGAGACCAGGCCTCCTGGTGGATCAGAGCCTGATCAACCAGGCTGTTGCTGCTGGCTGCACGCAAACCAACATACGAGCCACAGCCCGGCTGATCCGGAACTGACTTTAGGTGCTTGTCCAGTGCCAGCTTGAAGACTGCCAGGGGTCTGTTGGTAATCCCCCTTATGTGTGCTGGGAGGCAGTTGAACAGTCTCGGGCCCCTGACACTTATTGTATGGTCTCTTAACGTGCTAGTGACACCCCTGCTTTTCATTGGGGGGATGGTGCATCGTCTGCCAAGTCTTTTGCTTTCGTAATGAGTGATTTTCGTGTGCAAGTTCGGTACTAGTCCCTCTAGGATTTTCCAGGTGTATATAATCATGTATCTCTCCCTCCTGCGTTCCAGGGAATACAGGTTTAGGAACCTCAAGCGCTCCCAATAATTGAGGTGTTTTATCTCCGTTATGCGCGCCGTGAAGTTCTCTGTACATTTTCTAGGTCGGCAATTTCACCTGCCTTGAAAGGTGCTGTTAGTGTGCAGCAATATTCCAGCCTAGATAGAACAAGTGACCTGAAGAGTGTCATCATGGGCTTGGCCTCCCTAGTTTTGAAGGTTCTCATTATCCATCCTGTCATTTTTCTAGCAGATGCGATTGATACAATGTTATGGTCCTTGAAGGTGAGATCCTCCGACATGATCACTCCAGGTCTTTGACGTTGGTGTTTCGCTCTATTTTGTGGCCAGAATTTGTTTTGTACTCTGATGAAGATTTAATTTCCTCATGTTTACCATATCTGAGTAATTGAAATTTCTCATCGTTGAACTTCATATTGTTTTCTGCAGCCCACTGAAAGATTTGGTTGATGTCTGCCTGGAGCTTTGCAGTGTCTGCAATGGAAGACACTGTCATGCAGATTCGGGTGTCATTGCAAAGGAAGACACGGTGCTGTGGCTGACATCCTTGTCTATGCGGATATAAGGATGAGGAACAAGATGGGAGCGAGTACTGTGCCTTGTGGAACAGAGCTTTCACCGTAGCTGCCTCGGACTTTACTCTGTTGACGACTACTCTCTGTGTTCTGTTAGTGAGGAAATTATAGATCCATCGACCGACTTTTCCTGTTATTCCTTTAGCACGCATTTTGTGCGCTATTACGCCATGGTCACACTTGTCGAAGGCTTTTGCAAAGTCTGTATATATTACATCTGCATTCTTTTTGTCTTCTAGTGCATTTAGGACCTTGTCGTAGTGGTCCAATAGTTGAGACAGACAGGAGCGACCTGTTCTAAACCCATGTTGCCCTGGGTTGTGTAACTGATGGGTTTCTAGATGCGTGGTGATCTTGCTTCTTAGGACCCTTTCAAAGATTTTTATGATATGGGATGTTAGTGCTATTGGTCTGTAGTTCTTTGCTGTTGCTTTACTGCCCCCTTTGTGGAGTGGGGCTATGTCTGTTGTTTTTAGTAACTGTGGACGACCCCCGTGTCCATGCTCCCTCTCCATAGGATGGAAAAGGCTCGTGATAGGGGACTTCTTGCAGTTCTTGATGAACACAGAGTTCCATGAGTCTGGCCCTGGGGCAGAGTGCATGGGCATGTCATTTATCGCCTGTTCGAAGTCATTTTGGCGTCAGGATAACATCGGATAGGCTTGTGTTAATCAAATTTTGTGGCTCTCTCATAAAAATTCATTTTGATCTTCGACTCTCAGTCTGGTTAGCGGCTTGCTAAAAACTGAGTCATATTGGGACTTGAGTAGCTCACTCATTTCCTTGCTGTCATCTGTGTAGGACCCATCTTGTTTAAGTAGGGGCCCAATACTGGACGTTGTTCTCGATTTTGATTTGGCATAGGAGAAGAAATACTTTGGGTTTCTTTCGATTTCATATTATGGCTTTTAGTTCTTCCGCGATTCCTGACTCCTAAAGGATTCTTTTAGCTTAAGTTCGATGCTGCTATTTCTCTGACCAGTGTCTCCCTACGCATTTCAGATATATTTGACCTCTTTTAGCCGCTATGTTATTCTATTTCCGTCGCCTGTAAGGGAGCGCCTGTCTCTTTCTGTTTACATCTACTCCTCCTTTTTCTTAGAGGAATAAGCCTTGTGCATACATCGAGTGCCACCGAGTTAATCTGTTCTAGGCATAAGTTGGGTCTGTGTTGCTTAGTATATCTTCCAGCTTATATCGGTTAGGACTTGGTTTACTTGTCCCACTTTATGTTTTTGTTATTGAAGTTGAATTTGGTGAATGCTCCCTCGTGACTAATCTCATTATGTCGGTTGGGGCTCCGCGCATACATGACTGAACCTCAATTATGTTGTGATCTGAGTATATTGTTTTTTGATATGGTGATATTTCTTATCAGATCATCATTGTTAGTGAAGATGGGGTCTAGTGTATTCTCCAGTCTAGTAGGCTCTATTATTTGCTGTTTAAATTGAATTTTGTGCAGAGATTTAAAAGCTCCCCTTTGAGTGTGAGTTTTCCATCAGAGCTGCCTCCTGGTGTTATTACTGCAACAATATTATTTGCTATATTCCTCCATTTTAGGTCCCTTAAGTTGAAATCCCCGGGAGCAAGATGTTGGGTGCAGGAGCTGGAAGGTTTTCCAGACAGTGGTCAATTTTTAACAGCTGTTCCTGGAATTGCTGGGATGTTCCCATCCGGAGGCTTGTAGACTATCACAATGACTAGGTTTTGGTTCTCGACCTTTACTGCTAAAACTTCCACTACATCATTTGAGGCATTTAGCAGTTCTGTGCAAACAAGTGACTCTGCAATGTACAGGCCAACCCCCCCCCTTTTGCCTGTTCACTCTGTCACATCTGTATAGGGTTTTAACCTGGGGTCCATATTTCGTTGTCCAAGTGATCCTTTATGTGGGTCTCAGTGAAAGCCCCGAACATTGCCTTTGCCTCTGCAAGCAGTCCACGGATGAAAGGTATTTTGTTGTTTGTTGCTGACTTTAGACCCTGTATATTTGCAAAGAAGAATGTTATCGGACTGGTGGTATTTGTTTGGTACTGGGGGGGGGTTTTTTTTCCGGCATTATATCTGTATTGTTGGTTTGGAGTGGAGGCCAAACCAACAGATACAGATACTAATGCCGGAAAAAAAAAAATCCCCCCCCAGTACCAACAATACCACCAGTCCGATAACATTCATGTATACATGTATTAACCTAAAATAAGGCATTTAATGTACCCGAGAGTGAGTCACGAACGTATGAGCAGCCCAGGCACACACGTCCTAACCTAACCCAACCTAACTGGGCTAATCTAGGGGGAAGGGGGAGACATGGATCTGCTTTGCATGGGTCAGTAGGCCTGCTGCAGTGTTCCTTTTTCTTATGTTCTTGTGTACTACACGATCAGAAAGAGCAAAAAGTGATGATGTTTCCAGTTATTTTACACAACCCCTCCCCTCCCCCCCCCAAAAAAAAACTGAGATGTATATAAGACTGAGATTTGTTTAGATTTTTAACCCAGAGGGTTAGCCACCCAGAATAACCCAAGAAAGTCAAGGCATCATAAAACAGGCAGGAAGCTGAATTTCTTGTTTTGTTGAGGACAAGTTTTAAATCTTTAGTAGAGACCTAATGAATGAAAAAATCATGGTTCTTTTGAATCCTGAGGGAAGGGGGGACCATGACTATGGGACAATGATGGAATATATATATAATAGTGGGGGAGTGCTAAATCCATAGGATTATACAGCGCACGTTGGGGGGGAAGGTATTCAGGCCTAATTCAGGTAAGTGGAACACAGATCCAATTCCCTAGATCAAGAGCCCCTCACCAGCGTCAATGAACCTTCCCTGAGGGGGGGGGGGAAATAATATAGTTTAAAAAAATAATGTATAAAGCATTCCTTTGAAAATGTACAATGCTGTCAACAAACATTAATTTTAGGCATAAATTACTTTTATAATTGTGGGAAGAAGCACTAAGCCCAAAATGGGTATAAAGTTTTATATTTACGGGGAAAGCACTAAACCCCTAGCGGCCATAAAATTCTAGGGAATGGGAAACAATCAGGTTTAATCCAAGGATGGAGTGGCCATAGGTCCAATTCCTTGGATCAAGATCCCCTCACTGGAATCAAGGAACCTTTATTGGCTAGAACAATATATTTGTATTGGGGACCGGCCTTTGCAAACACAACTGAGCATTAGTGCTTAATCAAGTAGTGCTATTTTGTATTGAAAGAGCATCTTACCAGTCAAACTTTCCTATTTGATCTTCATAAAGGCCATATGTAGCTGAGAAAGACGTAAGACAGAATAATAGCCAGTACAGGTGTGCTGCCATGGCTCCTGTCAGTAGTAAAGCGTCATCTGCACAAGCAAATATCCGCCTCATGTTGTCTAGTATTTTATCGTATATTTCCTTGTAAAGTATTTACTTAGGGTAAAAAATGATTTTAACGTTAATATATATCTAAAATATAAGTGTCTACTAATGCAAATTTATATTATGTGAGTTGAGAATTCGTAGGTAAAGAAAATTATATCTATAAAATAATACGGAATTTATGTTCGTCAACCTCTGTCGACTGCTATTTTTGAGAAAAATAATTGTCAAAAAATTATTATTTCTTTGTTTTATTAAGTAGGTAAGTAAGTAAGTAAGTAAGTAAGTAAATAAGTAAGTCAGTAAGTTTATTCATGTTAACACAAATACAGTTACATATATTATACATAGCAACATATGTGTAAAGAACCTGGGATAACCCAAAAAAGTCAAAGTGACTTATTTCCATTGGGGTCCTTTTACCTTATTTAATTTGTTTATTTATTTATATTTTTTATTTGGATATGATACATAGTTGTACAAAGAAATATAGTGATTGGGTGTACATGCCAAAAGCCCCTTGTATGCAGAGCATTATGGGCAGGCTTATTTTTATAATATAAATGAGATAATATCTTATTATTACACTATAAAGGAGATATACTAGGAATATGGGAAGATTGCGTGTGTTAGCTAAAAAAAATAAAAATTCATTCTTCTCCCTTTCAGTCGGTACATTCATTAGGCACCTTTTGGCTCTCTTCTTGAAGTGGTTCATGCTATGACTGGCTTTGACATGTGCGGGCAGTCTGTTCCAATCCTTTATTGCTGTACAATAAAACGTGTTTGAAACCTGGTCACTAACTGTGGGTACTACAAAGTTGTGCTCTCTTACCCTAGTACTATGATTGCTCCGGTTCCCAGCCTTGACAAAATTGGAGCAAGATATTCTGGATACTGTTTGTGAGCAATTTTATAAACTTGATTTATAAAATTGTTCTACTCTGTCTTCCACATTCATCATATCCAATTGTTGTAACTCATCCTGGCCTACATGTTCTCTTGGACCCAGGTCCAGGATGAATCTTACCATTTTGTTCTGGGTGATTTGTAGTCTATCTTTCTTTTTTTTTTTTTTTGTCAAGGCAGAATACCATGAAGAGCAAGCGTAGTCCATAAGACATTGTATAAGGGCTAGACATAGGGTCCTGCGAGCCTCAGTTGGTAGACACTGTGCTTGTCTATACAGGAACTTCAATAGCTGATATAATTATATTGTGCGGTTACCATTATAAAAAATGTTTTACTAGGTTTGAGATTAAACTACTGTGTTTATTTAAAATAGTCATTATTTAATAAGTCATGGCAAATAAGTCCCATTTATTGACTTCACAGGTTATTCTAAATTTACGAGTATTTACACGTAAGTTACTATATAAGACAAGGGTAAAACTCTAAAGCTATGTTGTGACCTTAAATAAAAATCTATTTTGATACAGCTCGAGATTAATAAAGATTATGCAATAAAAGCAAGCAGTGTAGCTTAATTCCATTGAACTATATTTTTCTACAAGAACTGCGACACTTAAATTTAACTCTTGAGTTATCCTAGGTAATTTAAATATATGTTACTAAATAAGACAGCTTTAACAAATCTAAACTTGTATAAAAAGATGAGTAAAATCGTATGCGGTTCTCCGTGTGAATTATACAATCACATCTTGAGCCCAACAACAGCAACAATAAAGGTGGCCTTAAACTCCAACAACAACAACAACAATACCACTACAACCAACAATAATAATAACAATAACATATGGAAAGTCACTGAACCAACACAATGAGGTATTAATACATACAATGCAACTCATAGAACTATTGGGAAAAGACATCTAAGACCGCCATGGAAATAAGTCACTTTCTACTTTTCTTTGGGTTATCCTAGGTAATTTACACATATGATACTATGTAAGAAAATTTTAATCACCTAAAATTTGTGCAATTGTACTTATGTGTAATTGTACCTAAATAAATTTCCTGAACCTCTGAGCAAACTGCTAGAATCGTGAAGAACTTGTGGACTTTCGTGCCAACCAGTCTTGGTGAAGTGTGGATGTCTCGCATCTGTGACAAATTTTGCCCATTCTGTCTGAGACACTTGTCCTCATCTTATTCTGCCCGTTGGGCTTTAATTAAAGGAGAAGAAACATTCACCAACTCCATTTTTTACTTATGTGAACGAGTACCTAAATACACTTACATCGGGAAACAAATCTCAATAAGGCGACAGCTTCCAGTGGCCCTTAAAACTCACCACCGCCGTCACCTCCATAACAATGTCTACTGACTGACCCGTGTCAGTAGATAGTTACTGTTTCCTGAAGGGCAAAACACGACCACCAGTGCTACTCTGCCAGAATTGTAAGGTCGAGTTCATAGTTTATCTTTTAAATTATTATCCCGTTCATCAGAAAACAGTCGACTACATTTTAGACTCCTTTAATTCTCCGACTTGCTTACCATTGCCACCCGGGCGAATCGAAATGTACGGGCAATTCTTACACCTGTTGTCGGTTTTTACCTAGTATTAAATAGGTAGTTGGTTGTTAGCTAGCTGGTGCAGATCGTATCCTGGGAGAGGAGTAAACCTCTAACATTTGAACGGTAGGGAGTTAGTGCAGGAGTTAAGGAATTTGTCTCAAGTGGCCCCCTCGGTGGTGGCTACAGCTCTCGCTTCACACGGCGACGGTAGCAACATGGACGTGTTTCCTGCACTGGTTGTTTATGTTCACTCATCAGTAAAATGGGTACCTGGGTGTTAGTCGACTGGTGTGGGTCGCATCCTGGGACAAAATGACCTAATTTGCCCGAAATGCTCTGCATAACAAGCGACTTTTTATATAGTAGTATGTCATTGATTTCAACTAGGCCTGTATACCTTGTATATGTACTTGTATAAATAAAGATACTCTCAACGAGCATGGCAGCATTTCAGTTGCCTACGTTTATCCATGAAAATCTGCAAACAGATCTATCCCAACCTCTGGATCGTCATTAAGGTTGTGACTCTTCCAGGAACGGTGGCTGGAGCAGAGAAAAGCTTTATCAAACTAATGTTCATCAAAACTTACGTGAGGTCCACCATGGCACAAAGTCACCTTAGTGGTCTTGTTGTCATCAATATTAATCATGTGGTTTCGCAGCAGATTTTCTCTGAAATCACTGATGCATTTGGATTAAGGAAGCTCAGCTTTTAATAGGAAAACCCTAGACCTAACACTTCCAAGCCAAATTTAAAATTCAGTTATTTGCTAAGTGACAAATTTCAAGTTTATTTATTGTATTTATTGGTGTTTTTATTTTTCAGTTTTTGTATGTAATATATTTTGAAGTCTTTATTGAGTATCATTATTATATTACCTGGAGTTTACCTGGAGAGAGTTCCGGGGGTCAACGCCCCCGCGGCCCGGTCTGTGACCAGGCCTCCTGGTGGATCAGAGCCTGATCAACCAGGCTTTTGCTGCTGGCTGCACGCAAACCAACGTACGAGCCACAGCCCGGCTGGTCAGGAACCGACTTTAGGTGCTTGTCCAGTGCCAGCTTGAAGACTGCCAGGGGTCTGTTGGTAATCCCCCTTATGTATGCTGGGAGGCAGTTGAACAGTCTCGGGCCCCTGACACTTATTGTATGGTCTCTTAACGTGCTAGTGACACCCCTGCTTTTCATTGGGGGGATGTTGCATCGTCTGCCAAGTCTTTTGCTTTCGTAGTGAGTGATTTTCGTGTGCAAGTTCGGTACTAGTCCCTCTAGGATTTTCCAGGTGTATATAATTATGTATCTCCCGCCTGCGTTCCAGCGAATACAGGTTTAGGAATATACACAATATTTGTGTGTAATTTTTGTTTCAAGACAACTTGTTCTTAATTAAAACACAGAACAGTAAATGAAGGAGGTACTTTGTTTTATAGACTTTTATTGCTGCAAAGGTGATACACGGGGGATAGATGGTGGGGCTGTGTTGTTGGCGAGGATGATCAGGGGAACCATTGCATAATGTCGCCTAGAATACCGAAAATGCCAGAACTGCTGGCAACTATTGGTATGCCCTAAGATGGATGTCATTCAGCAGTACCTTTTACTGAATGATATCCATGTTTGCACTCCGCCCCTTCCTTAGATCAAACCAGATTACCACCCATTTCCCAGGAACTGTATGACCACAAAGTGTTTAGCGCTTCCACACGAATATACTAATAATTTACACCTCTTACATCTGATCACACCACTGGTGTGGAGGCAGCAAGTAATCAAACATGCACGGGAACTACAGAAAGTTTAGTGGTTTTATATAATGACTGAAGAGAGTCCACCTCATATCACTGCATTAGAGTCAGGAAACATGAGCACATTGTAAATTTTATTTTTCACTCACAAAATCAATGCCTTTATGTACAACTAATCAATGGTTATGTATAATGGAGTAAATAAATGGCATTGGTCAAGCTACTTGTAATTCAGAGTTCCGGGCAAGACCTAAGCTTAAATCCAGCTGTGTCTCTGAGTACCTCTTTCTAGCTTCTCGAACAGCCTGTCCCCCGTCTGCCCTATCAATTCCCCTTGAGTATTTTATATGTTCTTATCATATCCCCCCTGTTTTTTTTCTTGTCATCCAATGTAGTTAGATTCAAATCAGTTAGCCTTTTGTAACTCATTCCCTTTAACTTTGAAACAAGCCTCGTTGTATACTTCTTTATTTTAATGCGTGTGCATACGTATGCTTGTATACTAGTGTGTATACCTATGTGCATATGTATACGTGTACTTATATACATGTGAATATGTATGCATGTGATTGTATTTGAGAGAGGTTATAAAATGAAAAAAAGAAAAGAAAACAGGTTTCAGAGTATTTAATGATTTATTTTTTTCAGTGGTCTTAGGTTAGGTAAGGTTTGTCAGGAAACAGGACAAGTGTTTCCTGACGCGGGTCTTAGTCAGATGATGACCCGCCGTTGGAGCTTTTGGTCATCTGACCGGGGCCTTCCGCTGGCTTACCA